TTTCCCCGTGAGATTCTTGCAACGAACTAAGGCCAATATGGGCTAAGGCATGGCCTAACCGCCAAACGCAAGAAATTCATCGGGAAATCCGGTGAAACTCCTACCTGAAAAAGGCATGCATTAAAGTCACAGGGAAAAGCCTTGTTTTTTCTCTCCGTGTATCATTACAGATTTTAAGAAAAAAATATTTTTAAAAATTTTCAAAATTGTACATTTTACCGGGCATTAAACATTAAAGCACATTTTTTTTAAAAACGAATAACTTTTATCCATTTAGTTAGATTTTGTTTATATTTTAGGTAATAATAGTTGATTATCTAACAATTTAAAGTGCAATATTAAAGGAAAAAAAATCCAAAATTTGCCCGGAAAAAAAAATCAAAAAAAATTTTGATTTCATTTTTTCGGGCATAAGCACCCCTTTGATTTTTTTGTAACTATAATATTTAAATTCGTTATCTTCTCCAGAATTTTTTGCAAAAAAAATCCCTGGAGACTTTAAATCTAACTGAAATATCGAATTTTTTGTCTCGAGGTGCACAGATATCGATCTCGCGTAAACACGCCTGAGATGTGCACCAAACGTTCTTAAGAGTAAATTTTCGCATTCTAATATTTTTTTGTTAATTTTTAGTAATGAAGGAAGGTTTAAAAATCAAGTTTATTTATTTTATTTATTGGTTTATACACCTGTCTTCAGCCATACAATACTTGGCTACACAAGTGTCCCTTTACAAATTTTTCTCTCTGACAATTATTTCTTAAATACATTACTTAATACTAAATGTTGCGCCTACAGAGCGACTTAAAAATTAGGAGTACTCGCATTTACCTGGACCACCCGTCTAATGGGTTTTCTCGCCAGTGGAGAGGGAAACTGTAGAAAACCTCTCCTGAGTACAACCGGTTTATCGACAGTCGAGTTCTAATGGTGTGTACCGGACAATAATCGATGGTGCACATTATTATACTTCGACGTCAAACCTCCCGCTCAGATTGTCTCACGTGCCGGAAAAATACCAAGCCAAATGGGCGCGAACCAAGGGTACTTACTCTTGGTCCTAAAACGTCCGCCAAGCGAGGCATCTATCCGACTGAGATAATCTGTCGGTTTAAAAATCAAGTTTTGCAGTTATAAATTTGTTTTTAAACAATCTTGAATCTCAAAATGTGTATGTAATATATAAGGGTCAAATTTTCTCAAGTGTACCAATGTCAAAATTGCAAGTTGTTAAATCGGGCTTATATTTTCACAGTACATATTTAGAACTATGAATGAGTACTTAAAACCACCAAGTAATTATGAAATTTTATAAAAAATTGTAGGGGGGAGGGGGTTGAAGATTTTGGATAAGTATAAACAGTGAGTTTTATAAAAAATCATAGCTTTTATATAATAAAGAAAAAAAAATTGTGACCTACAGTACCGTCCGCAATTGTCAGTCCACCCATTTTTAAAGGAATGACAAAAATTTTTTAACATAAAATTCATGAAAACTAAAATTTTTTTTGGTTTATATTTTGAAAGACGATAAAATTTTGAAAAGAATAAGACCTTACAGAAGTCATTTGGCCAAAATTTGTAGAAGATACTGGGTCAAATTTTCTCAAAAAAATCAAAGTTGGTCATGGGTCTTTCAATTTTTGTGAAACTTGGTATAAATATAGTGTTTTATGACAAAAGATTTTAGGAAAAAAAGATTTAAAAAATTTTTTAAAATTGTGGATTTTACCGGGCATTAAACATTAAAGCACATTTTTTTTAAAAAACGAATAACTTTTATCCCTTTAGTTAGATTTTGTTTACATTTTAGGTAATAATAGTTGATTATCTAACAATTTGAAGTGCAATATTAAAGAAAAAAAATCCAAAATTTGCCCGGAAAAAAAATTAAAAAAAATTTTGATTTTATTTTTTCGGGCGTAAGCACCTTTTCGATTTTTTTGTAACTATAATATTTAAATTCGTTATCTTCTCCACAATTTTTTGCAAAAAAAAATCCCTGGAGACTTTAAAACTAACCGAAATATCGAATTTTTTGTCTCGAGGTGCACAGATATCGATCTCGCGTAAACACGCCTGAGATGTGCACCAAACGTTCTTAAGCGTAAATTTTCGCATTCTAAAATTTTTTTGTTAATTTTTAGTAAAAAAGGAAGGTTTGAAAATCAAGTTCTGCAATTATAAATTTGTTTTTAAACAATTTTGAATCTCAAAATGTGTATGTAATACATAAGGGGCAAATTTTTCTCAAGTGTACCAATGTCAAAATTGCAAGTTGTTAAATCGGGCTTATATTTTCACAGTACATATTTAGAACTATGAATGAGTACTTAAAACCACCAAGTAATTATGAAATTTTATAAAAAATTGTAGGGGGGAGGGGGTTGAAGATTTTGGATAAGTATAAACAGTGAGTTTTATAAAAAATCATAGCTTTTATATAATAAAGAAAAAAAAATTGTGACCTACAGTACCGTCCGCAATTGTCAGTCCACCCATTTTTAAAGGAATGACAAAAATTTTTTAACATAAAATTCATGAAAACTAAAATTTTTTTTGGTTTATATTTTGAAAGACGATAAAATTTTGAAAAGAATAAGACCTTACAGAAGTCATTTGGCCAAAATTTGTAGAAGATATTCCTAAAAATCGTCATTTTCAATGTTTTACAAAAATTTAAATAACTTCTAAAATAATGAACGCTTTTTAATAATCTTAGGCTTATTTTAAAGGTCTTTTTCTACGGAATAAGAATTACTTATAGGCATTAACCTGTCATTTTTAACTTGCAATAAGCATGACGTCAAAGTTGGACAAAAAAATTCAAAAAATTTGAAATATTATTAAAAGAAAAATAATTTTTGAAATTCAAACATATATTTTTATTAAATTTTCTTGAAAAATCTACACCATATCATGTTTTATATATGTTCTAGAATAGTTTTTAGTACAAAAAATTGATTTCAAATTCTTCCAATTTTTTTGTCTAATTTTGACGTCATGCTTATTCCAAGTTAAAAATGACAGGTTAATGCCTATAAGTAATTCTTATTCCGTAGAAAAAGACCTTTAAAATAAGCCTAAGATTATTAAAAAGCGTTCATTATTTTAGAAGTTATTTAAATTTTTGTAAAACATTGAAAATGACGATTTTTAGGAATATCTTCTACAAATTTTGGCCAAATGACTTCTGTAAGGTCTTATTCTTTTCAAAATTTTATCGTCTTTCAAAATATAAACCAAAAAAAATTTTAGTTTTCATGAATTTTATGTTAAAAAATTTTTGTCATTCCTTTAAAAATGGGTGGACTGACAATTGCGGACGGTACTGTATATGTTTTTGGTAGGTTTTTTTCTGCTGTTTCAAATATGTAGTGAGAAATTTTTTTTTAAAAATTCAAAATTTAACCCTTTTTTTGAAAATTAAACATTTTTTTGATTTTTTCAAAAAAAGACCTCTTTTTTCTTGTACCAAAAGAAAGCTTATGATGTGTATTTTCAATATGTGAAACAAAAAAATGACGTTTTTTTTGTTTTTGAACGATTAATTAATTAATTAATAAAAATTGAAATATTTTACAATATGAAGTATTTTGATTAAATTGACGTTTTACAAATAAATATTTATAAAAATAAAGATACAGTGTTAGTTTTTTTTAAAACAAATGTTTATATAATTCTACTTTAAAAAAATTTATTCCAGTTATTTGCAACGATTGTTTAAATAAAATATTCAACACCTTATGCGTGTATCACGCTTGATATTGATAATAAAATAACAAAAATTATTCAGATAAAAAAAATTATCTCTTCTTACATCAAAAATGTAAAAATTAAAAAAATGTACTTTAGAAAATGTCAAAAATATTAAACCGGAAAATTTAGTTAAAAAAAAATTCAAAAAAATTTTTGATTTTCAAAAAAGGGTTAAATTTTGAATTTTTTGAAAAAAAATTCTCACCATTTGTAGAAGCAGAAAAAAACCTACCAAAAACATATAGGTCACAATTTTTTTTCTTTATTATAAAAGCTACGATTTTTTATAAAACTCACTGTTTATACTTATCCAAAATCTTCAACCCCCTCCCTCCTACAATTTTTTATAAAATTTCATAATTACTTGGTGGTTTTAAGTACTCATTCATAGTTCTGAATACTGTGAAAAAATATTAGCCCGATCTAACAACTTGCAATTTTGACATTGGTACACTTGAGAAAAATTTGCCCCTTATGTATTACATACACATTTTGAGATTCAAAATTGTTTAAAAACAAATTTATAATTGCAGAACTTGATTTTCAAACCTTCCTTTTTTACTAAAAATTAACAAAAAAATTTTAGAATGCGAAAATTTACGCTTAAGAACGTTTGGTGCACATCTCAGGCGTGTTTACGCGAGATCGATATCTGTGCACCTCGAGACAAAAAATTCGATATTTCGGTTAGTTTTAAAGTCTCCAGGGATTTTTTTTTGCAAAAAATTGTGGAGAAGATAACGAATTTAAATATTATAGTTACAAAAAAATCGAAAAGGTGCTTACGCCCGAAAAAATAAAATCAAAATTTTTTTTAATTTTTTTTCCGGGCAAATTTTGGATTTTTTTTCTTTAATATTGCACTTCAAATTGTTAGATAATCAACTATTATTACCTAAAATGTAAACAAAATCTAACTAAAGGGATAAAAGTTATTCGTTTTTTAAAAAAAATGTGCTTTAATGTTTAATGCCCGGTAAAATCCACAATTTTAAAAAATTTTTTAAATCTTTTTTTCCTAAAATCTTTTGTCATAAAACACTATATTTATACCAAGTTTCACAAAAATTGAAAGACCCATGACCAACTTTGATTTTTTTGAGAAAATTTGACCCAGTTATTATATTTTTCAAGATAAAAGTTTTTATTTTAATAGTCATAGAAAGTAGGGGTCGCACAATTACGAGAGAAAAATATTTCAATCATAATGTATTAGGTATTATTAAAAGTAATTCATTACCAGTAAAAACCGGAATATCCATTGGAACAGTAGCTGTATACGGTTTATTCAATCGTACTCCAAAATTACGTTCTCCACTTAAGAGTAAAAGAATAAACACCCCAATGTGCATTAATCCAACGCGAGCTATAAATAAATTGTTATATTTACAAATTCAATGATTTAGAGAATAAGATGAAATTTTGTTATTAATGTTAACTTACATTGATCAGCTCTGGAGTCATTTAAATGATATAAAATTGGAACCAAAACTTCTAGAACATCCGAACTTTTCAGTACATAGTACAGGAATTTTTTATTATAATCACACATTTTCCAAAAAAGAACCAACAATTCTTGATGAAAATGTACTTTCTTTGTTGAATTTGGCAAATAAGTTTGCATAAGTGGATTATTTAGTAGCCTTGTAATTCCTTTTAGAATAAACTGAAAATCTGAAAAATTAAAATTTTTGTGAAATAAATATTAGAAAATGAAATAAAAATTTTGATAAAAAAAACTAGGTTTAAAATATTACCTTCATCTCGATGTATACGACTTAAATAATTTATGAAGAGATTATCACCAACTGCAGTTTCATCCATTGAAATGCCAGTACTTGTGTCATGATCAAGTGTTACTATCAAAATCTGTAAAGCAACATCTACCAAAGGCTCTAAGGAATCCGTGAAAATGAGATGATTGTACGGAACTCCCAATCCCACGGGATCATAAGCGCATACTGTATTCAATAAAGATGTAAACATTGGCAAAGCATGCCTACAACAAAGTCAAATTATTATAAAAAGAAAATTTTATATTTCTCATCAATACAACAAAAAATGTATTAAAACTTTCGGGACATTTTTAAAAAATATAAGATTATATATTCGAAATAAGGAAATTCATTATTGAATGAATCTAAATTCGCTAAATGAATTTCCTTATTTTGAATATTTAATTTAATATTTTTTATTTTACTACAAAAATTTCGCTATTTTTCCAATTTTTGACAATTTTATTTTTTTGTTGACAAATTTTGATATTTTAATACACATTTTCTGCTGAGAAGTGACATGTACCTATTTTCTCCACTTGTTAAATACTGAATCCATCTATTTGGAGATTCAGACAGATCTATTGGTGGACTGTACATTGTTTCGCTAAAACATGTTAAAAGTAACTTTAATAATTCCGTTCGGTTAGCATCGAGTATCGGATGTCTTGGTGGTGAATGCGCAAATCCTACACCAGCTTCCCAAATATATTCACAACTATCTACAGATTGCAATTCTTCAGCTTTATCCTGTAATATAATGAAAATTTTAGAAATTTTTATTTACAAAAACAACTCTTTTAAAATTTAATTAATTTTGAAATATTTAAGTAAAATTATTTATTAAATAATTTCTAAGTAATAATTTTATGATATTTCTTCAAGAATAAAGTTATTTAAAAAGAAATTATTGTTAGAAATAGAAAAAATTGAAGGTTTTGTATTAGAATTTATGGTAATTTCATAGTTTATGAGGCAAACAGAAAAGACACCAAAATTCAGAATTTTCTTATAAATTCAAAAAATTTAATTTTTTCAAGTACTTTTAATAAAAATCCCTGAATTTTCCCTGACTTTTCCTTGAATTCTCTGACCTGTGGCAACCCTGTTGTTATTTATTGCAAAATATGAGTTTTGAGTTTTTTCTTTTTTTTCTGTCTTTTTTTGGCAATAGAAAATATTTAAAAAAAAAAAAAAATTTACTGGAAAATTGTAAAAAAAATTATTGCAATTTGTAAGTGTCAGTAACATAAGAAACCATTTTACAAAAATATATAAATTAAAATTTTTTATAACTATAAAACATGAAGATATCGATAACTCCAAGTCTTCGACTCGGAGTGATCGATTTCTTCATGTTTTATAATAAATAATTATTAAAAATGACCGAGTGATAAAATCATTTACAATTCAATTATTATTTACAAGAATTTTTAACTGAAATTCTTCTTTAAATCGATTATTTTTAATAATTTTCGAAAAGGTTCTTCGACAATTTTCAAATCCATTTGTTTACAATATTCAGTTTTACGAAATTTCAGTTACTCGTAAATTCTTTACTTAAATAAATATTAGAAAATAAAAACTTAAAATAATATTAAAAAAATTCAATTAAACTTTTTCAAAAAAATTAATTTCCAAATTCAATTATTTCTAAAAATTTCCGCTATATTGCTTTTATTATTCAATTATTATCTAAAATTTTAACTGAAATTATTTTTAAATCAATTTTTATTAGAAAATTCTACTAGAATTCAATTATTTAAATACAAATATCTTTTACGAGTAAATTTTTTTTTGTAATTAGTTTTTAAGTATTCTGTATCAAACTCTTTTGTATGGGTTCTCAAGCAACCCTATAACAAATAAATAATAATATTCAATTATAATCTAAATACAAATAAAATGCAAATAAATAATTTATTGAATAATTGAATGTTTCTTAAAATCCAATTCCCATAAAGAATCGTTAACAACAGATTTTTAAATAATTGAATTCTATTAACGAATTTTAATAAAAATTTAAAGAATAATTGCATTTTTCGAGAAATTCGATTAAAATTGTATTAAAAATAATTGAAATTCTACAATGAGTTTTATTAATTATGAAAATAACTGAAATTCTGCAATGAGTTTTATTATTTTTCAAAATAATTGAATTCTTAAAAAGAATTTTATTATTTACGAAATAAATTAAATTCCCAAAAAGAATTTTATGATTTACAAAAATAATTAAATGTTTCCATAGAATTTTATCAATATTTTTGAAAATAATTGAAATTTTGCTAAGAATTTTATTAAAATTTAAGAAAATAATTGAATTTCGGAGAAGAATTTTATTGCTTGTAAAAAAATAATTAGAATTTTGACGAGAATTTTTATAAATTTTTGAACATAATTGAATTTCTGCGAAGAATTTTATTACTTTTTGAAAATAATTGAAATTCGGCAATCATTTGTAATTTGTTTCTAAAATTCAATTTTTTTAGTGATTTTAACTAATATTTATTTTTAATAATCAATTTTACGAGAATTCAATTATTTAAACACAAAAAGAAATAATTTATTGAAAACTTGAATGTATTTATGAAAATACACTACCGTCCGTGAGTAACAGGACGCCCCTTTTTTCATGAGTGGAAAAATGCTTAAAACGTAGAAAATAAGAATGACAAAAATTTTTCGTTTTTTTTCCTGAAAGCTAATGAAATTATGAAAAGACTGACACCTGATTGAAGAATTTTCGTTAACTATTCTGTCAGATACAGAAAAAATACTGGATTTTGCATGCTTTTCATTTTTCGATGGCTTGTTTGAAAGATCATTTAATTGCGCAACTTTTTCCCAGAGGCACCTATACTTTATCTTTTATTGTTTAGTTGCTGTGTTAACTTTAAAAAAAATTTGCAAACGGGTCGGTTTGCCCCACCCCCTGGGGTAAACCGGCCACCCCATGGGGCAAACCGGTCAGTTGAGTTTTTTATCTACAATATTGCATTTGTATAATCTACAATAACAACAAACATAAAGAATCATGTGAACAATGGTTGTAATAATGTAAATAATAATACAGGATTGAATTTTAATTAAATAAATAGTTTTTTTAATTAACAAAAAAACATGTTTGAAATTATCAGAGAAACAATATTAAAGGGTCTAATTCTCATTGGAAGATAATTATTTTTCATTGAAAGTAAATATTTTAATGAAAAAAACATTCTAATTAATAATAATTTTTTTTAAACTCTGATACAATGAAAATATCCTGTGGCCGGTTTGCCCCACAGGCTCATTTTGAGAATAAATATTTGTTTAAAAGAAACGCTTTGCAAATTCATCAAAGTTTTTGGTGTTAAATATTCCTGAGGTGTGTACCTTCAAAACCCAAGACCTAATATTTGGAAATATTACACGATTTCCTCAAAAATTCCTTAAGAAAAAATTCGTAAAAGTGTAGAAAAAAACTAAAAAAAAAACTTTTGCTCCCAGCGTTGCACAAATAAAAGTAAAAATTGTCAAATTAAAAAAATAAGTCATACTACACATGATTGTTTCAAATTTCTAAATAACACTTTTGACAATTTCGCCATTTCGGAGATATTGACCCCTAGCCGGTTTACCCACCGGCCCGGTTTGCCCCACTTTCCCCTAGATATTAAAAATCATTCAATTGCGGAAAATTTTTGAAAATAATTGAAATTTTGATAAGAATTTTATTAAAATTTTTAAAAATAGTTGAATTTCGGAGAAGAATTTTATTATTTATATAGATAATTGAAATTTTGACGAGAATTTTATTAAAATTTTAGAAAATAGTTGAATTCCTAAAAAGAATTTTATTATTTACGAAAATAATTGAATCCCCGTAAATTTTTTATTATTTATGAAAATAATTGAATGATTGCCAAGACATTTATAAAAAAATTTGTATAGAATGAAATTCCTATGTAATTTTTATTATTTTTTGAAAATAATTAAAAGTTTGTGTAGAATTTTATTAATTTTTTTTGTTGAAATAATTGAATTCTTTTGAAAAATTTTATGAAAATAGTAGATATTAAAAATCATTGAATTGAGGAAAATTTTTGAAAATAATTGAATTTAGGAGAAAAATTTAATTATTTATAAAGATATTTTAAATTTTGATGAGAATTTTAAAAAATTTTTGAACACAATTGAATTTCTGCGAAGAATTTTATGTATATATTTTGTTTGCTTATTTTTTTTAATTATTTCACCATTACAACGATTTTATTTTATCAATATTCATAACAACAATCAATTTTCGAACAACACTAGAAAAATTATCTTTTTATATTCTAAAAAAGTTTATTTTACCCTCAGATTATAAAGTTTTTTAAAAAGTATGTGAAAATATACTTCAAATTAATACTCACAGGCCCCGATTTTTTGCTCGCAACTACTGTAAAATCCGGACAGAAAAGTAAATCCTGAAATAAAAGAAATAATTAACTATCTTTAAAATATATAATTTGGGTAAATTTAATTTTAGACACTAGAAGCAGCTTTAAAATATAATTATTGTACAACAAATTTATCTAACATTTTGTTTCCAAATGGAAAAAACATACACTATCTTACAAATTAAAAATACTTTATAAAGTATTTTAGAAATAAACTGATTGGATAATTTTATTTATAAGATTAAAATATTAATTAAACTGAAATTTGTTGAAATTGGACATTATTTAAAAATTAAAATATTTTATTGTATTTTTTAATTAATAAATAATAGATAACTTACACAGAGGGCATTAAGTAAAGAATGCGCCAAGGGCATACTTTGCTCTTCTTCTTTTCCCGGTAAGCTTTCCCAAAAGAATCCCTTCCATTCGAGATCTTCAAATATATACGGTAATAAACGTGTCAATAAGCGACAACAATTTAAAACCGTTTGATGCTCTCCTTGTGTTCGACAACTACAATCAACGGCCTTTACTAATTTTTCTACAGCTTTATAACACAAATTTCCTAAATTTAATGGCGCTTCTTCCCTTAATATTCGAATTTCAGGCGCTGGTATTAATGTGAAAATATCTTGAACGCTCGAAACATTCTCACACCAGAACTGATCCCAAAAACTATCATCATTAGCATCAATTTCCTGAAACAGATATTTATATTTAGGGTAAAGTTTAAGGGTCAAATTTTTTCTTTTTGAAATTTAATTATTTCTAAAAAATTTCTACTATAACTCATATAGTATGTATTCAATTATTTTCGAAAATTTTAAATGAAATTCTTTTTCAAATTAATACTTATCAAAAAGTTCTACCATAATTCAATTGTTTAAATAAAAAAAATAAATAATTGATAAAATAATTTATTATTTCAAAAAATTGCAATTGCAACTCTTTAAGGTGTTTTAAATTTTACTTAAATATTTCAAAAAATTCTTTTAATAAATTTCTTTGCAATAATTCCATTATTTTCATAAATAATAAAATGTTTTACGGAAATTCAATTATTTTCATAAATAATAAAATTCTTTTTAGGAATTCAATTATTTTCATAAATAATAAAACTCATCGCAGAATTTCAATTATTTTCAAAAGTAATAAAATCCTTCTACCAAATTTAATTGTGTTCAAAATTTAAAAAAATTCTCGTCAATATTTCAATTATCTTTATAAAACAAAAATTTACAAGTTTTTTTTATAAATTTCTTCGCAATAATTCACCTATTTTCATGAATAATAAAATTCTTGTCAATTATTTTCAAAAATTTTCTTTAATTCAATGATTTTCAATATTTACTATTTTAATAAAATTGTTCATAAGAATTCAATTATTTCAAAGAAATTTCGATAAAATTCTACGCAAACATTCAATTATTTTCAAAAATAATAAAAATTTCTCAAAAATAATAAAATTCTTTTTAGGAATTCAATTATTTTCATATATAATAAAACTCATTGCAGAATTTCAATTATTTTTAATACAATTTTAAGCAAATTCCTCGAAAAATGTAATTATTCTTAAAAATTTTATTAAAATTCATCAAAAGAATTCAATTCTTTAATAATATGTAGATAAATTCTTCATAAGAATTAAATTTTAAGAAACATTAAATTATTCAATAAATTATTTACTTTTGCATTTAAATAATTGAATTCTCGAAGAAATTTTCTAATAAAAATTGATTTAAAAATAAATTTTAGTTTAAATTTTAGAGAATAGTTGAATATAAAAAGCATTATAGCGTGAATTCTTTTAGAAATAATTGAATTTTGAAAAGGTTTCAGATTAAAATCTTTGAAAATTTGAATTTTTCATATTTTTAACTAATAATTCTGTGGAATTAATTTTTTTTTGAGAAACTTTAATTGCAGATTTTTTTTGGAATTATTTCAAGTTTTTGTTTTCTAATACATATTTAATTGAAGAACTTTCGAATAATAAAAATTTCACGTAAATTTGAATTCCAATCAAATGGATTTGAAAATTCTCAAAGAACATTTTTAAAAATTATTAAAAATAGTTGATTTAGAGAATTCTGTGAATCCTGTGAAGAAATTTATTATTTAGGAGAATAATTGAATTCTTGCAATAAATTTTTATTACATTTTTTAAATAATTGAAATTCTCTGAAGAATTTTATTATTTATAAAAATAATTGAATTCTTGCATCAAATTTAATTAATTTTTTTTTAAATAATTGAAATCTTATAAAGAATTTTATTATTCATGAAAATAATTGAATTCTTGCAAAGAATTTTCTAACATTTTTTTTAAATAATTTAATTTTTTTGAGAAATTTTATTAAAATAGTAGATTATGAAAATATTTAAATTTCAGCGAAGAATTTAATTACTTGTGAAATGTAATTGAATTCATGCAAAAAATTTTTAAAAATAATTGCATTTTTCGATAAATTTATTTTAAATTGTATTAAAAATATTTGAAATCCTATGAAACATTTTATTATTTATAAAAATAATTAAATTGATACAACGAATTTTATTACATTTTTTTTAAATAATTGAATTCATGTGAAAAATATTATTACTTATAAAAATAATTGCATCCTTGAGAAGGATTTTATAAAGATTTTTGTAAATAATTTAATTTTTTTTAAGAAGCAATCGGTATCTTCATGTTTTATAACAAAATATTTTTATAAGTTGTTTAATTTCAAAAAGGTTTGAATTTGTAATTTTTGAAATTCTTAATTCCTGTGAAAAAAAATAATAATAATTAAATATTTATCTAAAAAAGAGGTTATTTATGTTGTCGAATAATTTTACAATGAAAAAATTCGTAAATAAATGTAACAGAACATTTTTTTGAGTAAAATTTTTTCCTTTATTTTCTAAAAATTTAAAAAGTTTCAACTTCATTTTCAATTAAAATTTGTAAGTAAAAAAAAAAAAAAAATTTTTTTTAAATTTTTATTAAAACAATTGTAATTAAAAAATAGAAATGATGCAAATTATTTCCTTATAAAAATTGAGATTTTTCTACAAAAGTATTAAGAAACGGTGATGAAAGAAAATGTAATATTTTTTTCCCAAAATAAAAGAATCAGTTTGTGAACAATATTGTTATTGAGAATTAAAAATTATACTGTATAATTAGATAAATAATTTTTATTGTTATTTATTAAGTTTTGAAATAAATATATACTTTAAAAATTGAATAAAAAATTAAAAATTCAGGTTAAGTCGTATTTCTCCTTTTCAATTCAGATCGAAATCTTTAACTGATGCGTAATAATATTAAAATGTAGTTTTTGAAAATATTCAAATCAAAGTTTACATTGCAGGTTAAGTTCATTTTTCTAAACATATTTTATGATTTATTTTGTCTCTAATAAAAAAAATTGTGAATTAAAATTGTAGGTTCTTTTATGTGTAAGTAACTAATTTTATTGTGATAGTTTGAGAAAAATATACATAAAAAGTATAATAAAATATTATACATTAAATAATAATATTCTAGAAAAGAAGTGACATATTTTTCATAAGAATTATTTACATTACCTGAGACTTTGATGTCAGTTGTACAACAGCTTTTCGAAAATTTAATTTTGTATCAGCATTGCCCATTGTATAAAAATAATTTTAAAAAAATGATAAATTTAATAATTTTTAAAATACAAAGTCTTTTTTTAAAAATCCTTAACTGTAAATTAAAAATTGTATATTTAGGGTGAATAAAATTGTTTTATGATACAGTAGTACTGTATTTACATCAAACAATGAATATTGACAGATAGAGATTGGTTGTTTATTTGTGTGAGTAAACAACCAATGAAAAAATTTTAAATAGAGTGCACGAGGCACTACATATTTAAAGTAGTTTCGCTTAGACCCTTTCTGCAATACAGATGAATATTCGTAATGTGACACTAGGATTAAGGTGCTTCTATACCTCCGGTGGATTGGTCAAGCAATCGGCTCGATGAATTTTCACGGTCGGAAAATGTACTTTCATGGCGGGTATTTTTGAATAAGTAAATGTTGAAAAGGTTTTTACTTGAAAATTTATTTTAAAAAATGATTTTATCATAGAAATTCTTTTGAAAGTAATGTTAAAAAACATGTTTTATTTTAAAAGTTATCAAATTTTAATTCAAAATGTTTTAATTTTCCAATGAAGTGTAAAAAGCCTAATGTTTTTGAAATGCTAGTACAGACGGTACAGACTGTTTGTTATGAATGTACATAACCTAGCGTTGTGTTGTCGTGCTTGTGATATTATTATATTCTAAATTTAATGATTTAATTATTATTATATTAAATAATAATGAACAGACAACACAACGCTAGGTTATGTACATTCATAACAAACAGTCTGTACCGTCTGTACTAGCATTTCAAAAACATTAGGCTTTTTACACTTCTTTGGAAAATTAAAACATTTTGAATTAAAATTTGATAACTTTTAAAATAAAACATGTTTTTTAACATAAATTTCAAAAGAATTTCTATGATAAAATCATTTTTTTAAATAAATTTTCAAGTAAAAACCTTTTCAACATTTACTTATTCAAAAATACCCGCCATAAAAGTACATTTTCCGACCGTGAAAATTCATCGAGCCGATTGCTTGACCAATCCACCGGAGGTATAGAAGCACCTTTAGTAGGAGAATGACGTCAGTCACGTAAACGAAACACGAAATTGTAAAGGTTCGTTCATACGACTGTTGGAAAAACAATTACGGACTTTACGGACCTTTTTCAAGCAAATTACGGACTTTACGGATCTTTTTTTTAAAAAACGGACTTTTATGGACTTCAAGCCAAGTTACGGACTTTTACGGGATTTACGGACCTCGTCCAGCCCTGATAGTGTAATCGAAAATTATTCTTTTATTATTATTATTATTATTATTATTATTATTATTATTATTATTATTATTATTATTATTATTATTATTATTATTTATCAAATGTTATTTTGAGACGCATGCATATCCCCTAATCGCCAAGTCGTCGAATGATCAAATAGTCGAATGCCAAGTAATCGAATGGACAAAACGTCGAATGCTAAAAACATCGAATGGACAAAATGTCGAATGCTAAAAACATCGAATCGGCATTTAGTCGAATGTTCAAAACGTCGAATGATTAAAACGTCGAATGCTAAAAACGTCGAATCGTCAATACGACGAATGTTCAAAACGTCGAATTATCAATTCGTCGAATGTTAAAAACATCGAATTGTCAATACGTCGAATGTTCAAAACGTCGAATGATAAAAACGTCGAATGCTAAAAACATCGAAGCGTCATGTAGTCGAATGCTAAAAATATCGAATCTTCACTTAATCGAATGCTAAAAACATCGAATTCTCAATTCGTCGAATGTTCAAAACGTCGAATGTTTAAAACGTCGAATGCTAAAAACGTCGAATGTTCAAAATGTCGAATGCTCAAAACGTCGAATGATAAAAACGTCGAATGCTAAAAACTTCGAATCGTCATTTAGTCGAATGATAAAAACATCGAATCGTCAATACTTCGAATGCTAAAAACATCGAATTGTTAATTCATCGAATGCTTAAATCATCGAATTCTTCATTCGTCGAATGTTCAAAACGTCGAATGATCAAAACGTCGAATGCTAAAAACGTCGAATTCTCAAATCGTCGAATGCTCAAATAATCGAAACGCCATCTGTTCGAAATGTCAAGTAGTAGAATGGTAAAGTAGTCGAATGGTAAAGGAGTCGAAACGCCATCTGTTCGAATTGCCAAGTAGTAGAATGGTAAAGTAGTCGAATGTTCAAAACGTCGAATGATAAAAATGTCGAATGCTCAGAACATCGAACTGTTAATTCATCGAATGCTCAAAACGTCGAATGATAAAAACGTCGAATGCTAAAAACATCGAATCGTCAAAAGTTCGAAAAAGTTCTTTGTCTTCAGTAGACATTAACTTAAAACAAAGAACTTTTTCGAACTTTTGACGATTCGATGTTTTTAGCATTCGACGTTTTTATCATTCGACGTTTTGAGCATTCGACGAATTAACAGTTCGATGTTCTGAGCATTCGACATTTTTATCATTCGACGTTTTGAACATTCGACTACTTTACCATTCTACTACTTGGCAATTCGAACAGATGGCGTTTCGACTACTTTACCATTCGACTACTTTACCATTCTACTACTTGACATTTCGAACAGATGGCGTTTCGATTATTTGAGCATTCGACGATTTGAGAATTCGACGTTTTTAGCATTCGACGTTTTGATCATTCGACGTTTTGAACATTCGACGAATGAAAAATTCGATGATTTAAGCATTCGATGAATTAACAATTCGATGTTTTTAGCATTCGAAGTATTGACGATTCGATGTTTTTATCATTCGACTAAATGACGATTCGAAGTTTTTAGCATTCGACGTTTTTATCATTCGACGTTTTGAGCATTCGACATTTTGAACATTCGACGTTTTTAGCATTCGACGTTTTAAACATTCGACGTTTTGAACATTCGACGAATTGAGAATTCGATGTTTTTAGCATTCGATTAACTGAAGATTCGATATTTTTAGCATTCGACTACATGACGATTCGTTGTTTTTAGCATTCGACGTTTTTATCATTCGACGTTTTGAACATTCGACGTATTGACAATTCGATGTTTTTAACATTCGACGAATTGATAATTCGACTTTTTGAACATTCGTCGTATTGACGATTCGACGTTTTTAGCATTCGACGTTTTAATCATTCGACGTTTTGAACATTCGACTAAATGCCGATTCGATGTTTTTATCATTCGACTAAATGACGATTCGATGTTTTTAGCATTCGACGTTTTGTCCATTCGATTACTTGGCATTCGATTATTTGATCATTCGACGACTTGGCGATTAGGGGATATGCATGCGTCTCGTTATTTTTAAAAACAATAAAAAAAAGTTATTGTAGAAGCACCCAATACTCATAGAATTGTCACATATTGGATGTTCTACGGTTCTACTATCCTACACTTTCATTCTCAGCCCTGAGATAACCATGTGCTTAAATGGTATACAAGACAAATCTTTGCTGAATGTAAACAAACTGTGTAATTATTATACTCGCTTTTAATAAATGTTAATAAATTTTTGTTGTGGACACTGTCACTTCGTCTAAAATCAACAAAAATTTTAACGGTATAGTGATGTTAAGAAATTTTCAAGAAAAACTTGTCATCGAGCCTCAATTTGAAACGTATTCCTAACTAAAGAATACGATTCTAAACGTTATCAGTATATCTACAGTAGAATTTGGAAAAATTAAAAAGGTATGTTAAATCTGGAAATTCATATTTTTATATTTAGAATTTATTTTAAATTCACAAAATTTGAAATATTAACCCTTCAACTACAAATGTTCATCACTTTTACCTTGATTTCAACGAAACATTTAAGGGTGTACGAGCACGTTTTTTGGAAATTAGAAAACACACTTTTTTACATATATAATATATCAAAAGTTTTACGTAAAAAAAATTTCTTGCAAAGATTGGAGTCGATTTACTATGGATTTATTGAATAATACGAATTCCTAATTATAAACTTTTAACATTGATTCTTATGAAGATAATATGAAATTTAGCCTTTAAATTGAAAAAAATGTTAAAAGAAATCCAAATAAATTCATGTTTTTTTAAAAAATAAGTGCATGGGAATATCACAAATCGTTTTCAATAAAAACTATACTATGTTACCGGAAATATATTAAAAAGTTTTAGAAAATAGTAAAAAAATATAAACTGTTAAATTTTTTAAATAACAAAGGAAGAAGAGATCGTCACTTTTACTTTCGATACTAAACTGGTAAACTGATATTTTTATTATCTTATGGTTATAAATCTAATGAAATTAAAAGTAAAATAGAATAAGGTTTTTCAAAAATTCCCTTCCCAACAATAAGTTACATGCGCGCTGACATTTTTCTGCATTAATAAACAAGATAAAGAATATTCTAATTTTAACCAACTAATCATAAAACAATAACATTCGTGCTATTTGACGACTGCGAAGTTGTCAGATTTTAAAACGACAGGTATAACGATTCTATTATTTTAAAAAAATATTCGAAATTCAATTATTTTCTTTATTAATTTCTTGTATTTTCATGAAATATTGCAAAAGAATTCAATTATTAAAAAAAAATTGATAAAATTCATCTAAAATTCAATTATTTTCATAAATAATAAAATTTCACCACCCAGTAAACGAAAACTAATTGAAATGAATTAAAAAGAATTCACAAAGAGCTTTCGTGAATCCCGCTTTGTGACAAATACGAATTGGAGCCATGATGCAATTTTCCTGAATTCGTGAAACTGTATTGAACTTCCGAACCTTCTATCCGTACCAATTCACTGGACAAGTTTTGAGCCTTTAATTTTTTTCAATTCGTTAGCATGAATTCAATGCATTCCTTGGCCATTTCTTTCGAATGCGAATTCGTTTGGACAAATTGGTACATATTGAATTAAATTCAATTGAATATACAAAGAGCTTGAGTGAATCCCGCTTTGTGACAAATACGAATTGGAGCCTACCAAAAATGTTAATTCGTTTCAATTCATTTGAATTAGTTTTTTTTACTGGGCAGGAATTCAATTAATTTAAAATAACTTTTTCAAAAAAATTTCAAAAAAATCAATTTTTTAACAAAATTTGTATATAATTCTTCACAATAATTCAATTGCTTTCAATAATAATAACATTTTTCATGGAAATTCAATTTTTTTTAAAAATTTTTTGATAAAATTCTAAGCAAGAATATTTAAAAAAAAACAAAATTTTTCACAGAAATTCAATTCTTTTTTAACCATTTTTATAAAATTATTAAAAATGTAATTATTCTTAAAAATTTAATTTTAATTCCTCGAAAAAATCAATCATTTAAAAAAATGTTTTTTTAATTCTTCGAAAGAATTCAATACTTTACAAAAATATTAGAATTTTTCACAGGTATTCAATTATTTTCAAATATTTTAATAAAATTGTTTGAAAGAAATCAATTATTTTAAATATAATTTTAATTAAATTTTTTTGATAAAATTCAGTTATTTTTTAGATTTTAATAAAATAATTCTTCCCAAAAATACAATTATTTTGATAAATAACAATATTCATCACAAAAATTCAACTATTTTTAAAAGTAATACATTTGTTCTTGGAAATTCAATTATTTAAAAAAATTCTAATAAAATCGTTCGCTAGAATTAAATTATTGTCATAAATAATAAAATGCTTTTTAGGAATTCAATTATTCTCAATTAAATTTAGTAAAATGACACATAGACATTTAATTATTCTATGAAATTTGAATAAAATTCTTTGAAAAATTTAATTTAAAAAAAAATTTTTTTGCAATTGAATGCTTTTCAATATTTACTATTTTCATAAAATTTCCAAACAGAATTAAATTATTAAAAATTTTTTGTAAAAATCTTCGTAAGAATTCAATTTTTTCACGAATAATTATAATACAAATTTTTCAGAAATTGAATTATTTTAATCACAATTTGCTTAAAATTAGTAGAAAGAAATAATTTGTTTAAAAGTTTTTATAAAATTCTTTGCAAGAATTAAATTATTTTTATAAATATTTAAATTCTTAGGTCTGTGAAGTTGGCTGAACCACTTTCACAAAAATGAATTTGTATTGTGCTATTAATTAGTGCTTAATTAGTTCTTAAAAATGATGCCAAAAACATATTTATCAATAGCCTATAATTTAGTGCTCAAAGATTATTACAATAAAATTTTTTTTATTAATTATTTATTTAAAAAATAACTTTTTCGTGTTAGAATTTTCTTTACTATTCCAACGAAGTTTCAGGATAGGTTTGAGAAAGTATTCACTCACTACACAATTATAAGAACACATTAAATTTATTAAGTAGTTACTGCAGTTAAAAGATTAAGTAATTAAAAACAATATAAATCTCGAAGCTTACTGTCTTTTTCATAATAAATTCACAATTTACGAACATTTTTGACAAACACGACCGATTAAAACAAGAAGACCATTCTCATCGCCCATGCGAATCTATATCCAATGACATACACGTTAATATTTCTTCAAAAACGGAAATACGAGTTTTTTAACGAAATTAATTTAAATTAAAAATGAATCTTTAACATTCGAATGATTGAGCGATCCGCTAACCGTACCATTACGAAAAGCACGTTAAAACACCAACAAAATAGTTAGCAATAGCCTATTATTTATTGCTCAATTAGTACTCAACATTTTTGGAATAAATTAAAAATTCAATGTTAATTTTTCTATTTAACTTTGGTCATAAATATTGTGGCATTCCTTTATTTTAATCATTGTATTCGATCCAATCGTTATGTCTCCTGCAAATGCACGTGTAATGTCCCATGGAAAGATCTCCTAAATTACAAGAGGGTGTAAGGAGATCATTAACGTACTTCACTATACCTAGTGGTTGGTGCCCAAGACATCAGAAAAGTGTATGGTACATTATCCAAATATATAGAAATCCTGATGTCTGTTGATTGGAAAATGAGGATAGGACCTGTAAAAAAATATAAATTTTGAATGGAAGTATTTGACTCAAAGGTTTCAAGAAGGAAAAGTGAAAAATAAGAATTTGAAATATAATATTCCGAATAATCAAAATTCCGTAAAAATGAATTGTAAATGAATTAAAATTACATTTTCTTTATCAGAGTAATCTTCATTTACACTAATCAAACTTGTATTCTCGATATTATCTTCACTTTCAGGTACACACATTTTTTTAATATCGCACATTTGGCTGTACAAAAGTTTTCGGCTTCATTTTCCCATCCAACTCATTAAAAAATTCCACCCAAGTTTCGTCTTCTTTACTTTTCAGGCGCGTCATTCTTTCGTCATAAAAAAGGCGGGGCTTTCAATTTAAAAAAGCCATTTTTAATTCGGTTTTAGAAATAGTTGGCCTCCTCCAAGGTTTTTTCGCACTCATTTTTGCGGAGATCATAACGTTTCAACTAATTCATGAAAACTGATTATAATTTATCTATATTGACAATATTTATTTTCATTCACAATTTGTTGACTTTCTAAGACAAATAATTGTGTCGAAACTTTGTTTTCGTATAACTTCAATAATTAATCGATATTGAAAAATAAATTTAAAGCTATGAAAAAATGTGAGACTAACTCTGCTGGGGCTCGAAACCCAGGACCTATCAATTGCCGGTTGATTGCTCTTCCACTGAGCTACAGAGGTCCACCTTCAACAAATTTTCATAGCCTTATCGACTCAATAGTCAAGATGGTTCGCATTCTTCTGCATATTAATTTTGAATTTTCCCAGAATTTTTCACGAAACAATTATCAACTCATTAATAAGTTCCTTCACTAAACGTGAAGCATAGCTTTAAATTTATTTTTCAATTATTTATTGATTTGGCGGTGACGTCTAGGTTTAGATACCGGTACTTCTAGAATTTGAAACTTGGTCGATATGGTAGGTTTCAGCTTCACGTTTAGTGAAGGAACTTATTAATGAGTTGATAATTGTTTCGTGAAAAATTCTGGGAAAATTCAAAAATAATCGATATTGGTTCTATCATTGTGATAGATAATATAAAATATATAATATAATATAAAAAATTTTGCTTTAATAATTTTTTATATTTCATTTAGTATATGAAATTCATATTTTTTAGTTTTGAACCAATTTTTTTACATTTTATTTAAATAAAATTTTTATTGTTATATTAAAATTCTATTTTTAAATGTTTTAATAATGTTTTTTTAACAATTTTAAATTTTAATTATAATTCAATTATTTTTTTAAAAATAATTACTTCTTTATACAGCTTTTAATGCTGTTAAATAGTAAAAGTTTTTTTTCGAATTCCGATTCTTAAGGGGCACACCTAGTGTGAGTGACTGAAAAAAACGTCGATTTTTAGGAATTTTTTCAGGGAAATTATTGCATCTAATTTTTTTAAAGTTTTGTACATGTATATTTGTATAAATTGTGAAAATTTTGTAATTCTTTCAAAGAAAAATATCTTTTTTTTAAAGAGTTATTCGCTATATAAAAAAAACCAGTTTTCCCACTGCTGCAGTGATTACGGCCTTCTGAGTGACTGAAATCAAAAAAACCAAAAAGATTATTAAACTAGAAGATATTTGCCGTACAATGAGGCTCCAGTTCTTTGATTGGATGAAAAATAAAATTTTGGGATGCCAAGAACCATCGGATTTTTTTGGCGAAATTGAAAAGCTTTTTTCAAAACTCCGCCATTTTGTTGC